TTTGTGGCGGCTATGGGGAGGTGATGGCTAACTGTTGGCGTGTATTACATGTGGTATTTAGGGGGTTTGAGTGTTAGGAAGCAAAGCAAAGCAAATACGAGACATCTTTCTCTTTTTGTTTATATAATATTTTTATTCTATTTGGTTCTTGGTCTTTGTTGTTCATTCTCTTTCTGTATGGTGTGTGCGTATGTATGTTTGCGACTTTGTGTGTGACATGATTGGGACTGGGCTAGACTGCATTGTACATGGACATAAATATTCTGTCACGTTCTGGTACACTTACCAACTAGGAAGGATGTCGACAGTGTTCTTGGTTAGATACGGTAGATAGGTCTGTCGCTTATTGCATACATTGCGATTTTGGTTAGGTATACAAAAGCCCTATGATACTTGGATACATTATATATTTGCTAAACAAATACCCCAAACCCATTTCCAACCCTCTCCTTCTTTCCCTCCCAACGAGCAAGCATGAACGGAGACAATATAGATTAACCTCCTCTGTCCAAACCATCATACGCTCGCTCAAGAAGCCGGTCGAAGTCAGATACCTAATCTACGTACATCCCGTCACTAACACCACCATCGCCACCACCGATGCCTTGCTGCTGGTGGTTCAGAGGGTGCTGCATCATGCCGCCAATATTGCTATTACTATTATTATACACGTTATTCATATGGTGTTGTTGATGGCTAGTTCTGCAGCTGGTGTTCCGCGCCGCCACGCTGCTCACCGACCTGTTGATGTTGTTCATGTTCCCGCGTTGTGCTGTGGCATTCCCATGCGTTGCACTCCTGCTGCCGGTGGTAGCGTTGTTGCCTTGCATCGAGAACCCGCCACGTGTGCGGGCCACATCAAGTTGGTTTGTCTGTTGAGGTTGCTGCTGAGGTAATGTGAGCTGAAGCTGTTGTTGTTGTTGCTGCTGCTGCTGTTGTTGTTGTTGTTGTTGTTGTTGTTGTTGTTGTTGTTGTTGTTGTTGTGCGACCATTGCAGGCGTTAGGACAGGGCGGTAGCCAACGCCAGTATTATGCATGTTATAGTCGATGTCGGCATCCGCATCAGCATCCGAGTCTTCGTCCGCATCTTCATCCGCGTCAGCGTCAGCGTCGGCATCAGCATCACTCATCTCTTCATCCGAGGAAGAAGAGTCCTCTTCAGCCTCTGCGCCGGCAGATACCGCAGGAGTCTTGTTATTGTCTGTTGCATGACCACTCGCAGCTTGCTGAACTCCAGCAGCCGGTGTGTTGGCTGCGTTTGTCGCCACGGCTGATGCGAGTGATGCAGCGAAGTCCGGGTGCATCGGCGCTCGCGGCTGGCAAGCTTGTTGGCCCTGATGGGTCATGCCAGCAGCATCTCTCACATTGTTGATCCCTACCGCCGCCGTCCCAGAGGCTGATTCACCTGTTTCGATCCTTGTAAGGGACCTCTGAGCTTGCATGCCGGTGCTTGCCGAGCGAGATGCCCGCTCGGCCACGATCACGGTCTTCCACCGATCCATGGCTGCCGAGACAACGGTGTTGAGGTCGGAATGGCGATCCGTCAAGCTTAGGCCAACGGCCTTCTTGTTGTGCACCACTGCCTCCTCGGCCAAGTAGCTTATCATCTTTTCCTCTATAGGGATCGTTGTCGGCGACAGGATTCTGAACTCGCGGGGCTGTTGCAAGCGGTTGAGGTCCTTGATCTGCGATCTAAGGTTCGCGTTCTCCTGGCGCAAGCTGTGCCGCTCCTCTTTGAACTTGTCTGCTTCCTTCTGTCTTTTCCCGATATTCCGCGCCATTTCCAACCTCCAAAGGTGCTCCCGCTGCCCATCAGGGAGGCTGCTCCAGGCACTGTACGTGGTCAATATATGATCGTTCACTTTCTTCTCCAGGGCTTCGGCCGCTTTCTCAGCCTTGCGCACAGCATCCTTGCTATGAGGTTTGGAGACCTGATCCGTAAGTGGGTATGGCAGATCTTCGTGGAAAGCAGTCGTCACCGCACGACAGCTGACCTTCCACTTCCCAAACTCTTCCTGGAAATACGCCCTCAGTGCATCGAGTTGCATCTGGTCGGGTGGTTCTATCGACCATGACGTTGAAGTTGGGTACGGGGTGGCAGAGAATAGCGTCGGGGGCATATCGAGACACTGGAGGGTCAATGCGGGGAAGTCGAATGAGAGAGGATCGAATTCGAACGGCATCTTGTTTATGTCAATGTACTGCCTGTAGAGTGAACGTTAGCAGGACCACCAATGAGGACAGCGATGATGTATGTTGAAAACACCTACTTGGCAGCCCTGAACGAGCCGATCAGCTCCCGCAGCGCCAGCTCAGCTGCCCTCGCAGTATCTTGGGCATCCTGGACGCGTTGGTCGGTGTCAAACTGCTGCTTCATCGTCCTCGTCGGCTGCCGGCTTCCAGCAAGCTGGGGAGTTGGGGGAGGTCTCGCAGCCTCCGGGTACGCATTCCCCTTACTAGGCGACTCGCCCTCTTCCGGATGCCTGATCGCAATATTATTGATGACCCCGGTAGCCTGCCAAGGAGTCTTGAACGGAAAATCTCTCCCAAAAACCGTCTTGGCCGTCTGTTGAGGTCCTTTCACGGACACGGGTGACTTGAAGACGGAAGATTGGGCATCTTCAGAACCTGGGCTTTGTATGTTTGGTGCAATCGGCGTCACCACTGACGCCGATGTCCCTCGACGAGATGCACGTCGATCAGATAACGAACCCCTCGGATGCCTCCTTGTAATGTTGCCCCTAAGTCTCTTGATGGCATCCACATCGTGTATGCCATCGGCCGGCTTCGGGTTCTTTTCCTTTATGTAGAGGTCCAGATGCCGGCCGAGTGACGAGGAGGTAAAGGCTTGGTAGCAGTACGGACATTTCTTGTCCTTGGGGGCCTTGGGCGTGTTCGAGTCGACGGAAATGGCAGATGAGTCGGCCATGCTGTCTGCGGTGAAGCTCGAGTTGGACGGGCCGGGTCACGACCGGATGGACGGTGGGGTGGAGGACAAGGAAGTCGGATCGGGACGGTCTCCAGGAACCCCAGTGCTCGATTCCGGCCTCTGGGTTGAGCAATTGCTCCTACCGAGGAGTATTGCCATAGAGAACCGGCCAGGAAAGGACTTGCTGGAGGTGGAGGCCTTTAAAAAGCAACTTGAGCTTTTTTTGTTCCTCCCTCCCGTTTTTGAAGGTATCCTGGTGCTTTCTTTTTGTTCCCCTTTCCTGTCTATAGACTAGTCCGAGGTGCATTCCCCGGCAAAGGCAGGTGAAGGGACAGGGGTTCCAGGGCAGCTTGGGACTTTTTTTTTCAATATTTTCTTTTTTCTCAACGCTGAAGCTGGGGTTGCAAAGAAGTGCATGCGACTTCTGCAGCCAGAGCCGGGGTAAGAGAAAAGGAGGGAGAGTGGGAAAACAACCGCGAGGCAGGCGAATGGAATCCTAAATCAAATTTGCAGGTCGTATCTGCGAGGTATCAAGGTCTGAGGGAGGTGCTTCTTAGGTTTCCCAAGAGGGACGACTGAACTGTTAATTTTTGCTGGGTTCTCTTTTTTTGAAGTTGAGGGTGCCCGCTTGAGACGTCCTCGGCCGCGGTGCCTTCCTTCCCAGGCCTCGGGACCCAGATCTTTCCGGTGGGTTGCATAAAAGGTACCTCCACTCAGGTCGTTCGTGCCTTCTCAGACAAAGCTGAGAGCTGAACTGGAAGGTACAGTCCCAGCATCTGCATGCTGTATGGACAGTGTAAGTCCAGAAATTGGTGGTTGAGGCCGGTGTAAGGGGTTCAATGATGTGGTCATTAATTAACAGCCAAGAAATCGATCTCAGGGAGAGTTTCCTGGGGGCTGTGCAGTTCAACAGACAACAGCTCGACCAAGCCAGCTAATTCGCTGTTCAATGGCACAACAGCGAGGCACTATCCCAAAGACGCCCTTCTCGAAACCGCGGAACAGCCCGGCGCGGCTCACTTGTTTGTTCCGTCATTCGGTTAGCGCTGATCTGATCGCCCGCCAGACGCCTACTGGTAGTGGTGTGGCGTACTTTTAGCGTGCAAGGGGGTGGAAGGGATGGGATTTCGTGGGATTTGCTCTTTTGACAATCCCAGCGCGTCCAACTTCAGAAATTTGATATCCAACTGGACGTGTTCGTTCGCGACAGAGACAATAATTATGTCTTCGTTACATCATTCAGTCCCGATTGCCCAGCATGCGTATCCGTCTGCACCATTGTAGGGAATACGGAATACATGGGCCCAATCATGATCTAGCTGCAGTGAGGCAGGTCGGCTACCAAATGTAGCGGCGTTGATTTACCTTAGGTACCATGGGTTCAATGGTAAAAGCATTTGCACGGCGAAGACACTTGTCCCGATTCCTCCGCCATGACTTGTTTTACTGGCCATCCACTGGAGCACTGTTTCTTGTCGGGGACCTCGAGTGCGTGAATAGACATGTCCTCTGACGCGTCTGTTGGGCGAAGACCGGGGTTTTCATTGAAAATCCTACATACTGTACACACCAGTTGGCACACACCAACACCTGTCAAATATATCACTGCCAACCCCTTTTTCTGTGCATCAGATTCTTATTATCCTCTGCAGCCTTCTTCTCGACACTCACTCAGGGCAGGATATCTGACGGTCCAAATTTGCTTCGTCATTTATATTGCGCGTAATTTTTCTCTAACGTTTTTACGAATGCGGAGGAACCTCGACCAATTTGGGCAATCCCACTCCGGTGCAGACAGATGCTGATACTTTTAATCTGTCGTGCCTCAGCGGCCGACGTCGATCCAATCCTTTCTCGCGTAGGAGCAGCGACCCCAACAGCGGCCATTGGGCACAGTTTGCAAAATGTCGGTTCGACCGATCAAGAAGCTGGGGCGGGAGCGGATTCGACTTGACTAGTGGCAGCAGTAGCCAAAGCGAAAGCAGTGAGAGAGTCAAGGGAGCGGCACTGCCTGCCCCGCCCGCCTTTACCCCATATATTCTTTAAAACCAAACCCCAATCCCAACAAAGCGGGATAATAGTATAGTGGTCAGTACTTCTCGTTGTGGTCAAGTACCTACAATTCCGAGAGGACCCAGGTTCGATTCCTGGTTATCCCAATCTTTTGCACTCTTGAGCATATTTCTTCCATTGACCACCTCCCGTCTTGAATTTTTCGCCAAAGCCATAATTCTTAAACATACAGTTTATCTTTCACTCACTCAGTAGTTATTTAGTTACTTTAATTCCGGAGGAGTACCTACTTTGTTCACTCCTCGGACATCAAGATCTAAAACTAAGTAAATGAACTTGAACAAGCTCAGCTCCTCCCTCTCTCCTGAATCAGGGTGAAAACGAACAATGCCTTCTGTTATGCAAAACAATGAATGGACTTTGTTGCGTACAGCCGAGTTCTTTGTTCTGTAGGGTATACAAAGACTCAGTCGGGTTATATATACTCAGTCGCCTTTGTCACTAACATGCATCTTTCATCCCTTCGTAACAGTTGAATACAATTCCATCATATCAGACAGACACCTCGGAATATCTCAACAATAGCCACATTGTTTCGACTATCCAAATATCCTCCGTCAAGATGAAAATACTACATAAACACTCCAACACATCCCCTTTCAGTCACTTCCAAATATTCTCACCAGCACGTACCTTGAAGGTAAGCAACCAAACTCCATCCCAACCAGTTCTTCACCCTTGTTCCTCCAGTCACCACGCAAAACACCTCCTCCATACCCATAATTATAATGTTGGACACAGGTGGAATTGCCGGTCTTGTGACCTTCGGATTCGTCGTCTTCATGGCCTTCGCTTACGTGGGAGCGCGCATCTTCGCTAGACATCTTGACGGTGTCGCCAGCAAGGAGCAGTACGAGCGCGAGCGCAGGGCCGCTCACGAACAGCGACGCAAGGAGAGGAAGGCATGGCAGAACGAGTGCGAGCTGCAGCGCTCTGTGGATAGACAGCAGCGTGAGGCGGCCAGGTGGGTTGAGATTGATCTCGAGGCTGGGGACGGAGGTCATTTTCACGGTATACCAGATATGACGCAGAAGGTGGACTGGAGGCGGGTTCATCCTGCGCTTCGGCCGCCTGCTGCTGCGGCTTATATCCCGAATCATAGATACGTTTAATTTGGTGATGGTTGCTAAGTGGTGTCAGCTGGACTGACATCATCAGGGATGTAATTTGGGTCCTCGATCGTGATGATCTTGAGATGTTTCTCTGGTAAGTACTAACGATTTCTAGGTTGTAAGAAAGCAGAAGCATACAGGTATTTTCTTTGTTCTCCTTTGCTCTTCTTGTTTTTTTTTACTAGTATATTTATTCGCCTTTGTAAAACAAAAAAACGCAAATATGAACGCTGCCTTAGCAGTAACTAACAGACATAACTACCTCACCATTAACTGACTACCTTCTGTATATGCAACCAGGCATCTCGAGTGACTCTGTGAAATATTGGCGCAATGATAAGATCATTCATTGTTCGGTCCACTCTTGCCAGAGCATGTACCGATATCAAATAACCGTCTGACAGGAACCATCTTCTCTTATTCCTCAATCTCGTCTCCCGATCCGTCCCTTTATATCCCCCCGGTACCTACGCTCCCCACACAACTCACCCTGACAGTCCTCAATCTCCTTTCTTCATACTCAATCCCTCCTCAACTCATACCCATAATGCCACCCCTCCCCCCCAATATCCTGCCGAACCTTATAACTCCCCTCCGCAACTCTCAGTACCTCAAAATCCACCTCAACAATCTTCATCACCTCCCCTTTCCTCTCTTCGTCTTCTTCAACCATGCCTGTATGTCCACCAACCGCGCCCAAGATGGGCATAGCAACCTGACTCACGCCGCCGGAATTGCAGAACACAACACAGCAAGTATTCTCGTACGCTCTAGCCACGGCCGCCGACTCGAGAAACAGCTTCTCACACTCTGGATTAATTTCCCTCGCGACCGGATCCACGTCAGTTAAGTGCCAGTACGATGGAATCACGACCATGTCAGCGCCGTCGGCTATCAACGCTCTGAACGCTTCAGGGAACGCCAAGTCCCAGCAGATTAGCAAGCCTGCGCGCAATGGTCTCTCACAACTCTCAGTTGAGGGGAGGGAAAGAGGTGTATCGAATGCCATATGAGGTATATGTGTGCCCGCGGTCAGATGCAGCCGCTCAGGATGCCAGAGGTTCTTTTTTTGGTAGGCGCCTGCTATAACGCCCGTTCCGGCCGAGATCCAGTAGGCCATGTTGTGGATTTCTGTCACCTCTTTATCTTCAGGGTTGTTGGTATCTGAATGAACTTCACAGATCGTCCCCGGGACAATGTTGATGTTGAGCTCCTTTGCTAGCTCCTGATATCTCGCCAAGTAAGCAGCTGACTCGGCCGACGCCTTGACAAAGTCTGGGTGGTCGGGACACCATGATGTGAGGTGGTATTCTGGTAACACGGCGACGTGGGCGCCTTGTCTGGCTGCTTGGCGGATGTAGGACGCTGCTTTGGCGAAGTTTTCTTCTACCGCGACATCCTAGATAGACCGAAATGTGAGTCTTGAGAAAGATGATGATGATCGTGGGATATGACGTCACGTCACTTACCTTGGGTTGGAGCTGGATAATGGCAAATTTGTAATTTGGAGCCATTTTTGGGTTGTCTGTTTATGTTTGTAGTAGGGAAGAGACAAAACTGGACTTCAGTTCAGAAAACCAAGATCTTCATTCGGGAAAGATGTCAAGGATGACCGGCGTGGGAGTCGGACAGTTAGCCCCGCTCCGAGGACACCAAGGACCGCTACCGGCTCCGGGAATGAAGCTTGTGTCACGCGGGGTTCGCGGGATAATATCCGAGACTGAAACAACACATGTGAACCGAGAACAAAGGAGTTACTTAACCAAATATGGTCTATTATCGCTCGTTTGGGTGTGTGTGTGTGTCCTCTCATGTCATGTCGCTATTGACTCCGTCTATGCATAAAGCGTCAAACAAACCACGGTGCTTTAGGAGGCAAGGATGCCCGCACCGCCTGCTCTCTTTCCGTCTCCATCTCCTCCATCCCCAACCCCTAAACGCCGTACCGTTCCTCCCGTCAATTTTTGCATATCTAACTTAAGACCTTAAAGGATTGTTCCGAAGCTGTATCCCATCCATTTTGTCAGTAAAAGCACCCCTAATGCAAATATCGAAACAAAACTTACCCAAACGTCTGCTTGATGCTCCGAACATAGTACTCCAACCAGTTCCGCTTGGTCACCTCCTCCTGCCCAATCGGCACGCCCGTCCACTCGACGCGCATAACCGTGACGTGGTCCACATCGTTCTGGTCGAACTCGATCTGCAGCTTGGAGAAGTGACCCTGCGGCCACTGGTTCAGGCGCCAACTCTGCACGATCTTGGTCGGCTCCTGCAGCTCCAGGTATTCGCCCGACACGTTGCCGCCAAACAGCTCGAACTTGCCGCCCTTCTTGGCGCCCTCAAACACCTTGGGCGGCGCGCGCGTGAACGCCGCCAGCCGCTGCGGATCGGTAAACGTCTGGTACAGCTCCTCGGCCGTGGTGCGGAACTCTTCGTTGTCTGTCACGGTCGTGGTGTTGACGACGCTGCCGGCATTTGAATGCGTCGCCACCGGCTCGGCTTTGCCAGCAGCGGGTGTTGTGGGCGCGAGGTACTTGGGCGTGGAGAAGCCGCTCGACGGGTTGGATCCCGGGGGGTGCTGGAGGTCCTTGCCGTGCTCGGCGATCAGGGCGGGGGAGAGCTTGACGAATGTGCTGCGCAGCTGCGGAACGATCTTGGACCGGACAAGGTCCTTGACCGGTTGCTTCTCCTTGGAGTCGGAGTATATGTCGATCTCGAACTGTAGCAGGTGTCACTCGGTCAGCCGCCATACGTCGCACGCTGCTAATTTATGCTGTCGTAACCTACCACGAACTCGTCCTCATCCAACTCGTGGGACAGCTCCGGAACGGTAATGGTTCCCGAAACATTCTCGTCGCCGGCAGTGGAGCCTACAGAAAAGCATAGATTTTGTTTAGTCTTGCGCTCTTTTACTCTGCATACGGAAACAATTGGTGGGAACAAAGATCTCAAGGGCAATCTCAAGGGCAAGAAGGAACAAGTGCTTGTATTCTACGGTTGCGTACGTACCTGAGTACTCCAGTGTTAACTTGACATCAAAAATGGTAATGACCTTGCCCTTCCGCTGCGCCACGTCGACATCTCCATCCATGCTGATGACCTTGCTAATCTTGGCCGTCACATCTCCCTCCTTGGCCTCAATCTTGGTCAAGTTGTCCTCAAGCCACTGCCTTGCCCACGGCGAGGCATCCTTGTTGACCCAGTGCCAGTTGTTTGGGTTGTGCAAGACCATTGTGTCTGTTCTGTTTCGGTCGCAGAAGCGATATCCTTTACTTTGTTTTGGACTAGTCCGGTCAGCGACAAATGCCAAACGAAGCTCAAATATACCGTGAGAAAGAATTGGAGGGGCTAGATCAGAAATGGCCTGGTAGACCGCAGCTTCGTCATCAAGGGAGGGAGTACAAGTCACCCTATGACTGGTGCCAGCTGAACAATCATCATGGAAAGCCGGGGATGAAAGAATTGGTGGTCACTGTACCTTTAACTTCTAAAATTTGAAAGTACCTGTCGTTTTGCAAAAGTCGCAACGTTAACTCGAATGCAGTATGGAGTGTAGTAGAGCCGGGCGAGATGTCGCCAGAGAAAGGAATTGGAAGAGGGAGAAAAAGATGCGAGGAGCAGCTTTAAAGTCAACTTTGGAAAGCTCTAGAACTGCGAGCAGGCTCCATCCGAAAAGGCGGACAAATGCGGCAGTAAGTCTGACCTTGCACCATTTGTGGAGACCTGGAGTGGGGTTCACGGGAGGGGTTTTTCTGCCGATCCGACTGGAGCTTGAAGCCCGAGGCTGACCGCAAAACTAAAAAGACCACTGCATTTCCTCGGCCACTCAGCGACAGTTAGGCACCCGACCAATCATACTCGCGATCGCCATCAAGGATTGTGTAATATTTCTACTTTTCAGCCTCGTGCTGATCGCTCACACGTTACTTTGAGTTCTTTGACATTGACATTCACAAATTCCTCAGCGTGGT